AGGACGCCTTCGCGTGCGGCCTCGACGCGCTCCGGTCCTTCGGGTCGCACGCGCGGCTCGAGGCGTCCGCCAAGGACCTCGCGGCGACGCTCTGGGCGCTCGACGTCGCCGACGGCCTCGAGGCCGAGGGTTTAGGGGCCCGCAACGCGCGCGAGGTCGCGTCGGCCGTCGACTTCGCCCTGGCCGCCGTCGCGCGGCGCGCGGCCGCGGGCCGCGACGACGCGCGGCTTCGCGTCGCGATCGCGGCGCGCGTCGCGCGCGTCGCGCACCTCGCGCCGGCGCGCGCCACGTGCTGCCTCGCGGCGCTCGAGGCGGGGGGACACGAGAGCGCCGTCGACTTTGCGCGCGCGCGCGCGGCCGCGGCCGTCCGCGTCGGCGACCACGCGGGAGCGTTGGAGGAGCTCCGCGGCGTCGAGGGCGCGGGCGCGCCCGTCCACGCGGCGAAGCGGCGGGTCTACGCGGACCTCTGGGCGGCGGGCCGGTCCGCGGACGTCGCGGCGCTGCCCCTGTCGCGCCTCGACGAGGTCGCGCTCGCGGACTTCCTCGCGGCGGAGCGGCGCGCGGGCGACGCCGCGGCCGCGGACTGCGCGGTGTCGCTGCTGCTGCGGCGCCGCCGCCTCGGCGACGCGTTGGGGCTCGCGCCCTACGCGACGTCGCCGGCCGCCGCCAAGGCGCTGGCCTTCGCGCGGCGCGTCCTCGGCGCGGGCGCGGCGCCGCCGCCGCCGGCCGCGGCGGCGTGCCCCTACTACGCGGCGTTCTCCGCCGAATCGGACCTCGCGCCGCCGAAGGAAGCCCCGCGGGCGCCCATCGTCAAGACGAACTTCTTCGACGGCGACGTCGCGCCCATCGCCGCCGACTACCGCCGCGCCGCGCCCGCCCCGGCGCCCGCCGACGACGCCGCCCGGGCCGCGTCGCCCGTCGCCCCCGCCGCCGCGCCGCCGGCGCCGCCGCCGGCCGCGGCCTTCTCCTTCGCCAACCCGCCCGCGGCGCCGCCGAGTACGTTCTCCTTTGCGAACCCGCCGGCGCCCGCGGCGCCGCCGAGCACCTTCTCCTTCGCCAACCCGCCCGCGGCGCCCGCGGCGCCGCCGAGCACCTTCTCCTTCGCCAACCCGCCCGCGGCGCCCGCGCCGCCCTTCGCCCCGGTCTTCGCGGCGCAGGGCGTCGCGCCCTTCTCCTTCCGCGTCAACGCGCCGACGTCGACCGCGCCCAACGTGCTCCACGCCTCCACCGGCGCCGAGAACAAGGAGCACACCGACGACGAGGAGGACGATGAGGAAGACGACGACGACGACGACGACGAGCTCATGCCCCAGGGCGGCGAAGAGGAGGAGGACGAAGAGGAGGACGACGAAGCACTCGGCGACCTTGATCGCCAAATTCTCGAAGCCGGGGCCCGTTATATACAAAGCAACGAAGAGGAGGAGGAGGAAGAGGAGGACGACGAGATGGACGACGACGACGACGACGACGACGACGACGACGGCCCGCTCTTCGACCAGCCGCCGCCCTTTGCGCCGGCGTCGGCGCTCGCGCCCGCGGCCGACGACGGCATGGCCGTCGACGAGGACGCCATGGACGAGGACGACGACTCCGCCGTCGGCGCGGCGCTCCAGGCCCTCGCGTCGTCGGCGTCGTCGTCGCCGCGGTCCGCCGAGCCGCCGGCGATGACGTCGCCCATCGACCGCGCCATCGCCGAGGCGCGCGCCGACATCGCGGCCCGCGTCGAGGCCCGCGTCGCGCCCGCGCCCGCGGCCGCGGCGCCGGCGCCCGCGGCCATGGACGTCGAGGACGACGCGCCCGCGCCTGCGGCGGAGCCGGTGCCCGAGCCCGAGCCGATGGCGGCGGAGCCCGAGCCGGAGCCGGTCGCGGCGCCCGAGCCCGAGCCGGAGCCGGTCGCGGCGCCCGAGCCCGAGCCGGAGCCGGTGGCGGCGCCCAGC